ATTGAATGCATCTAAGTAAGTAAATGAGAAAATCAAGTAAAATTTTTACTTGGAATGGAAAGAAAACTAAAAAGCATAAATAAGTAAACAACTTATCTTGAAGCATTTAGAGAGAAAAGTTGGTGACAAAAAGAGCACTTGCCTGACTCATAGGAGAAAAAAAGAAAAGGCTAAGTGGACGTAACAGTGACTCGATAAGACTAAGATTTAAGTCTAAAATAATGTTAAAGACTAAAGAAAAAAGGTGGAGTCGAAGCTTAAAAATCAAAGGCTGTATAAACTATGGAGGTTGAAGAATATAAAGAGTTTGTAGTTTGAAGAGTTAGAGTCTTCAAGAGTATTAGGGCAAGCAAGAACAAGAAAGGTCGGAAGGTGAGTTATGAGTGGAGTGAGATTATTTTTACTTCTGGAAAATGATGAGTCAAGAGAATCAATTAGTTAATTAGGGAATATTAATCAATTATTAGAGGTTTAAGTGGGATTGGGAATTCGAAAACAAAATAAATAAATAATAAATTAAAAAATTTTATATTTTTAAACTGGTAAACGGATCAAACCCGTTAACCCGATGGATCAACCCGTTATTGACCTGTGACCCGTTGGGTTCTCTTAACGGGTACGGTTCACAAGTCATAAATATATGATCCTAACCCGTTTTAAACGAGCAGGTAATGGGCGGGTTAACGGGTTGGGTAAAAAATTGCCAGGTCTAGCTGTAAGTATTCTTTTTCTTGCTCAATGAAGCCTCAGTTCCACGTTCCATGCGTCTCAATGTGCCCTTGGCCTTGTTCCATCCCATAGAGATATTTTAGGATATCTTATACCTCTGAAATTCATTTCTAATTTAATTTAATTGGTTAAATATATTTAAAATTGGTTAAAATGTTATGTTAAAAAATTTTTATACGAGCTTCTGCTAATTGTATTTGGTTTTTAAAATTGAGTTAAATAGAAAATTAATAAAGTTTAATAAAATTATATAATTTAAGTGGATCTAAATTTTATCTCAGTTTTATATAATGTAATATGGTGTACTTAATAAAGTTGTCCAAAAGATTATCTTAGATCTCTTCTCCCATTCAAAAAATACCATAATTCCATAAATAGTGGAGTTAAGGAGTGATATATTCTACCATGATAATCACATATTCTACCATTCTTAAATTCTAACACGTGGTATAAGGATAGATTATACATAGGTTTAGAATCTAAGATTTTATCTATAATCATATCTGCTGTGTTCTCTAAATTAAAAGTTGAAACATCTTAATTTCGTTGTTTCATGATTAATAAAACTGGAAACTTGGAAAGACTAATTGAAATCATTGGTTTTATTGTTGTGAGTTTTGACAATCTGATTGAAATTTTGATTTGGATTTGTCAGGTTGTTTTATTTTAAATTGTGGTTAGATTCGTGGGATTTAGTTAACAAGTTATCGAGGTTTAAAATCTATTTTCATTGTTGGCTGAAACTGAATTTAGTTAATTTTAAAATTTGCTGTTGCGAGTTTAATTCATGCTTAAAGGATTAAGTACAAATTTGCTTTCTTGTTATGGTTACTAAGAGATAGAAAAGTCAAAATATAATTCATAAATTAAGAACCTAAAATTTGGTTTTCTAATTGGATTGTGTGTGTTTAATTAAGAATTAAACTTGAGACTTCTGTTGATTATGAATTGGCGATCGAACCCATTTGAGCTTTGTACAACAGCATGATCAGCATGATCTCTATGGAATCTTTATAATAATAATAAACTCTATAAAAAAAGTATCGTGTGTTGTTTTTTAAAATTTTTTTTGAAGATATATTTAAAAATTTATTTTTTAATTAATATTTTTAAAAATTAATTATTAAATTGAAAGTGTTATTTATATAGATGATTGGTATCAAATTTTAAATTATTTTAATAGATATAATTATTTCATTAACTATAAAAAAATTTAACACTATTAAATATATATAAATAACTAAAATTTTTTTATTGATAAAAAAAAGTAAATAGAATTATTTATTAAAAAATATAAATATTAGATCAATATAAAAATTAATATATATAATCTTACATAAATAAAATTTTAAATTTAATTATTAATTTTTTTAAAATATTAATTAAAAAATAAATTTTTTAAATAAATGTTTCGATAAAAATTTTAGAAGGACTACGTAGGCTATACTATTTTAAAATAAAACGCAGAAGGTGAGAATGAATAATAGTTATTCGATAGGGATGATTAATGAGAAAACTATTATTTGGTCCTTAGTAGTTTAGTTTAGTGCAAAATTGTCCCTAAGAGGTTTTGTAAAGTTACAAATAATGCTTGGACATTAAATTCAGGACTAACTGTCATTTAATCTCTCTTTCTCAAGTGTCTAAAATAATCTCTATAAATAATTAAGAGCAAGATTATGCAAAATATTTGAGACTTGTGAATTGAATATTTAATTTATAAGATATTATTGAATTTATGTTGAAAAATTCGTGTAAAATGGGTTATTGACCTATGTAAGTAAAATCTGGAGTTAGATGAGGCTTTTGGAGCATCTGGGTTTGTGTTATCCTACTCTTTCGTTGATTAATGTCTTGTAATTTTATTTGAGTTGATTAATTTCGATGAAACTTTTACTAATAATAATAATA